CGCAGAGTCGGACAGGATTGAGTGACTGAACTGAACTGACTGAACTGTGGTCGATGTGATTAGATTGGTTAGTTTTCTGTGATGGTGGTTTTCAGTCTGTCTGCCCTCTGATGCAGAAGAATAAGAGGCTTATTAAAGCTTTCTGATGGGATAGACTGACTGAGGGGGGTACTGGGTCTTTTCTGATGGGCAGGGACATGCTCAGTAAATCTTTAATCCAATTTTCTGTTGATGGGTGGAGCTGTGTCCCCTCCCTGCTATTTACATGGGGCCAAACTATGGTGAAGATAATGCAGACAATGGTGACCTCCCTCAAAAGATCCCATCCATTTACTGCTACAGTTCTTGCCCCCAATCCTGCGGCAGGCCACCACCAACCTACGCCTTCGTCAGAGACACCCAGACACCCACAGACAAGTCTCCTGTCTGGTCACTGTTCCTTTCTCTTGGGTCTTGGTGCACAAGGTTCTGTTGTGCCCTCCAAGAGTCTATTTCCCAGTCCTATGTAAGTTCTGGTGACTCTATACTGGGGTTTATGGTGACCTCCTCCAAGAGGACTTATGCCATACCCACACCCAGAGCCCCCGTCCCTGTAGTAGACCACTGCCAACCCGTACCTCCACAGGAGACGCTCAAACAGTCTTTGATCAAGCTTTAACAAAACTAGACTACCCCTAAAATGCTCAGTTGAGACAGACAATTCTTTTTCATTTGATTTAAACCCATATGGGTTAGGCTTTCTATCACTTGCAACAGGAATATTCTTAAGTAATATATGTAACATGATTACATTTACAGTTTATAAAGCTTGTTTGGGCTACAGGGATACATTGTAAGCAAGACGGCTGGGAGAACTGTTAAAGAGTTGAACTGGTTGAGAAATGGTATGGCTGGTGGGGGCAGGGATGGGGGCAACTGGAGCAGAGAAAATTGATAGATTTAAGGGATATTTAGGGTACTAGTTAGAGGATTTGGATGGAGAGAAAAGTTAAAAATGACTTGTGTCAATAGGCTTTCTGACCTGAGTTAGTAGATTGGGGGCACCATTCACTGAGGTGAGGAGATTGGATATTGTTTGCCAAACAATACTGGATATTGCTTATCCAATCCAGACTGGATAAGGTTTGCCTATAAAATGTCTGTGTGAGATGACAAATGGGGTATTGGCTATATGGGTCTGAAATTCAACAGACAGGACTAGGCTGTTACAGATTTAAGAGTCACTAGTGGGCTTCCCTGGTGGCTCAGAGGTTAAAGCGTCTGCCTCCAATGCGGGAGACCCAGGTTAGATCCCTGGGTTGGGAAGATCCCCTGGAGAAGGCAATGGCACCCCACTCCAGTACTCTTGCCTGGAAAATCCCATGGATGGAGGAGCCTGGTGGGCTGCAGTCCATGGGGTCGCTAAGAGTCCAACATGACTGAGTGACTTCACTTTCGCTTTTCACTTTCATGCATTGGAGAAGGAAATGGCAACCCACTACAGTATTCTTGCCTGGAGAATCCCAGGGACGGGGGAGCCTGGTGGGCTGCCGTCTATGGGGTCGCAGAGTCGGACACGACTCAAGTGACTTAGGAGCAGTAGCATCAGCAGCAGTGTATTCAGAGTAAATGAAGTTTAGTGAGAAAGACAGAATACCAATATCTAAGAAAAGGTGAAGGAGATGAAGAAGGAACAGAGAGAAGGTAATTCACGAATGTGCAGCATCACAGGAGCCAAAAAAGAAAAAAAAACAAACGGGTTTACGAAGGCCAGAGTGGCAAAGGCTGTTTCGTTCAACTCTCTGCGACCCCATGGACTGTAGCCCACCAGGCTCCTCTGTCTATGGAATTTTCCAGGCGAAATACCATAAGGGGTTGCCATTTCTACTCCAGGGGATCTTCCAGACCCAGGAATGGAACCCACATCTTTTGTGTCTCCTGTAATGACAGCCAGATTCTTTACCACTACCGCAACATGGGAAGTAAGAGGTAAAGTTGGATGGAACTGGGAAGGTTCTTTTAAATCTTAAGAACATGGAGGTCATTAGCAAATTTTGAACAATAATGGGTACAATCTAGATTATAGCAGGTTGAGGGTAAGTGAGGAGTGTGTTTGTGAGAAAGTAGAATCATAAAACGAGAAGAACTTTTTCAAGTTATTCCACTTTGCAGTCACATTTTTCAAAAAGTCCAGAGCTAAGTCATCAGCCCCCTTTAGTTTCTAATACTGACCTATTTGGTGCTCTTATCCAGTCTCATGTCTTTTTTTTGGTTACCAGTTTGGAGTAATTAGAAACCATGCTCCCATAAACATTATTTTACTCATTAAAAAAAAAAGTATGGATGAGATGGTATCAAACCATTATCCCTCCTCTAGTCCTTGAGGTCCTATGCTGCTACTCTGCCCTAATACCTGCTACTCTGTCCCTTGGTTATTTGGTACTCATCAAACAAAAGACGCCTTCCTGTTGTTGTAGACCCTTTGCACTGGCTATTTCTTGTTCCTGGAGTGTGCCTCCCTAAGATCTTCACAAGGCTCTCTCCCTCTCCTCTTCTAAGTCTGTTCCTATGGCACCTCCATGAAACTCACCTGACCACACTATTTAAAATACCAATTTGCTTCCCTGATACTCTTATTCCCCTCTACCCTGCCTTACTTCTTTTCTTCACACAACTAACAAGTATAAGTTTAACAAACAATGAATGTCATTATGTTTATGACAAAGATAAAATATTAAAAGCAACAAGAGAAAAGTGACAAATAAGATACAAGGAACTTCCATCAGGTTATCAGCTGATTTCTCAACAGAAACTCTACAAGCCAGAAGAGAATGGCATGATACATTTAACTGATGAAAGAGAAGAACCTACAACCAAGAATACTCTACCCAGCAAGACTCTCATTCAGATTTGATGGAGAAATCAAAAGTTTTCCAGACAAGCAAAAGTTAAAATAATTCAACACCACCAAACTAGCTTTACAACAAATTCTAAAGGAACTCTAGGCAGGAAACAAGATAAGGAAAAGACTTACAGAAAATAAACCCAAAACAATTAAGAAAATGGTAATAGGATCAAACATATCCGATAACTACCTTGAATGTAAATGAATTAAATGCACCAACCAAAACACACTGATGAAAACATGTGCCATATACGTACTTCCACTTACTACATCACTCTGTTTGATCCCCAAGCTGTATGTAATTATTTTATAGTTAGGTTAATCATGTTCCCATCACGGCTTGCAATTGTCATTATCTTTTGCTTTTTGTCTGGTTATTGATTGTGAAAACTGATAAACATCTTTTATTATTGTGATTGTATAACTATTATTCACTTAATACCATTGTATCATGATTAGTCAACAGAAAAATAATAGAATTCTATATCACCAAAACTGTCATTTAATAGAAAAACCTGTAATCACTTTTTAAAATCCAGATGCGTATCAGAATTATCTCGGAAATTTTTGAAAAATGCAAATACCCAGATATTGTTTTTTTGCTCCAAAGCTCTAGATATGTTTCTAGAGAGCAGTCATGTTTAAAAACAACTGGACTATATGATGATCTTTTACCTTTATTTAGTTTTGTTTCACTTTTTCTATTTCATATTCAGTTCTCTCATTTCATTTAGTTTATGTTTTCCAATTTCTCCATCTCTCTTTTTATTGTTCTTTCTCAAGACTTTATCAAGTATAGTAGAAAAACTTTTGCATACATATATATAATACATATAATATACATATTAGATAACATGAATTTTTGCCTAATTAAAAAAATTATGGCATTAAATAAATCTAAGTTGGATAAGGAAGGGGGTGACGATATAAAGAGTCTGAGACGAATTAAAAGGTTCCATGAACTACAGCAGTGATTGTCAAACTTTAGTGGTGTAAGAATCACCGGGAAAGGGGCAGATTCTGAATTATTCAGTAGGTCTGGGCTGAAGACCAAAATTTATTTTCAACAACGATCCTAGTTGATTCTGATGTCAGAGGGCCATAGACCAATATTTGAGTAGTAGTAGATTTGAAATGATAGTTTAAAGTGCTGTTTTGAAAGAAGCTGAGAGAAAGAGAGAGGGAAATAGTGGGGGGTGGTGATATTTACTGCAGGAATAGGTGGTTACAGTGTGAGATGATTAACTTATTATCTCAAAGATGGAACAGCCTGGAATGATGAAAGGTTTAGAGTACGCCCAAAGGAGTGGGTGGCTGAAGTGGAGAGTGAAATGGAAATAAATATCACCAGAGGGGAGTACCAAAAGTCTAGGTAATAATCCGTGTGGACCCTAAAGCTGCCCCAGATGATGGCAGTACTTGTAAGCAACAGGCAAAAGTATGAACAAAGTTCAAAACCATTAGTAAATGAGGGGAAGGAACTATAGGTGGGTAGAGATCAAGCAAAAATATGAAGTTGAAGGACCTGTAATTAGCCAAGAGTTTTTACGCAACGGCAGAGAAGTGAAACTGGCCAATAGTATGTGAGCCCGTATTGTATGGCAGGCTTTACAAACATCAGTCCATTTCACTCTCACAAACAACAACTCACAAACTTCATATAAAGTGAAAGTGAAGTCGCTCAGTCGTGTCCGACTCTTTGTGTCCCCATGGACTGCAGCCTACCAGGCTCCTCCATCCACGGGATTTTCCAGGCAAGAGTACTGGAGTGGGTTGCCATTTCCTTCTCCAGGGGATCTTCCCGACCCAGGGATCGAACCCAGGTCTCCTGCATTGTAGGGAGACACTTCACCATCTGAGCCACCAGGGAAGTCATATAAATAAAGTAGGTGTAATTTTTATTTCACTGTTATGAGGAAACAGAAGCTGTTTTAATACAGTTCAGCCAAAAAAAAAAAAAAGATCTCCAGAATATTGTTAGGGGTGAGGTTATCAATGGAAATGTTCCTTTAAATTTTATTTGTATTGAAAGATTTTCTTTTCAATATCTAGCAAGTGGCAGCATCAAGTAATTTTACATTAGGTCATTGAATAGAAACAACACACTCTGTATGTATCAAGAGTTCTGTCTACTCCACGCCTTGAGGATTTCTTCAGCAGCATCCAAAGTACTGTCTTTCTGTAAATTAATGAAATAGCCATCATTACAAATCAAAATAAACTCAAGACGAAGTAAAGATTTAAATACAAACAGTATACCAAAGTCAGTCCATCTGTAAGAGTCATGTAGTGATTTGGGAACTGAGTGGTCCTCAACCCCTGATAACCTGAGCCAGGCTTTAGCTGGTCCTCGGCCTCTGTAGCTGAGACAGAGTCCAACAGCATGGCATGGGGATGGGGGATACCTTGAGTAGTGCAACTGGAAGTTCTACCCCATTTTAAACCATTTAACTTAGCAAGAACACAAAAACTGGGAAATGGCATCTACAGCATCGTCCTTTGCCTTGGTGGCCAAATACACAAGTCACAAGCTCTTTTAGGAGCCTAGCAGCAAATCAAACAGGCCAAATATTTATAATGCTATTATCCCATTGCTGTCAGGCTAGAGAAGTGTATGAACCTCATAAGAATTCAATGTTAGGGGAGCTATAGAAGTGTCAACAGCAATCATTACATTATACTGTTTTGTGATGCTGGCCGCTGGTTCAGAGCACTTTATTACTACTATCCTGACACCAAAAGAACTCTACAAATTAACTAGTATGGGGCCAAGGAACATTACCAAGAAAATGATCAATAATCTGTATATACAGCTCAGTCTGAAAACAGCTTAACCTAATCCCAGCCAAAACCATGTCTGTCAGTGTGGACGCCCTCACTGCCAGAGACTCAGACTTATAAATAACATTGATGCAGGAGGAGAGCCTGAAGGATGTACTGATGAGATCCTTATTTACTGTTTAGTTCAGTTGTGTAGGAAGAGCACAAAATCACAGACTTCTTTCACAGAGCCTTGTAGACAACAAAAGGAAACCCCTGCCTTAGCTCCCAACAAAGAGGATGCCAGGCGGAGTGAGACTACAGTAATAAATTAACATACAACTACAGAAAAAAGTCAAAGAATACAGAAGAGTTTACACTGAAAAATAATCATCTGTTTCTTCCCTTCTCGTGCCTTTCTACTACCCCCATCATCCTCTAAGTCAACTTCCTATGGCAATTTTGATTTTAGTTCTAGTGATTACCAACAAAATCTAAATAATGTATGCTCCTAGCTTTTTAATTTATCAACTTCAGACAATGTTTACCATTCTCTGCTCTGAATGAGGATAAATTGGTTCTTTCACACTACTCTGCTCCCTCCTATTGAAGTCTCACAGTTATAAGCTCCTAACACCACAGTGAGAGGGCCAACTGTAAAGATACAATTTATTTGTTTTCTGAATAGATAATATGTACATAAGATATAAAATTAAATTGATGGATAAACTTCCTCTTGCTCTCCCCACTCTTTTCCTTTCTCTTCCATCTCTACAGAACGACTTACTCCAAAGCCGTTCGGCCGGGCTGAGGGAAACAGGAGAGCACGTATGGGGCTGGGAGAGCCTCAGCAGCCTGGCGCAGGATGCTCCAGCCCGAGTGAAGTAAGAAGACCTTCCAGCAGCGGGGCATGAGGTGGTGGTGAAGACAGCGGTGGCACTGGGCAGGAATAGGGCGTCAGAATCGAGGGGGTAAGTAAGCAAGGCATCTGCATGGCAGGGTGGTTCCAGGCAGCATGCAGCCTGGAGGGGATGAGGCAGGCATCTGCCAACGCAGACGGGTACGGAGCGTCAGAGCCTGTAAGGGAAGAGGGGCGCTTCCATGCAGTGGCTGACAGTGGTGGCTTTGTGTGTGGTGGTGGAGACTCAGAGGAGGGTATCTCTGCAGGAAGGTCAGCACATGGTGCTGAAGCTCAGGTGAGGTGAGGATGGCGACCATACAAGGGACAGGGGTGGTAGACTGGTAAAGATGTCAAAGCCTGAGTAGGGTAAAGGGTGCCCGTCGGGGTGGCGGGTGGAGGGGCAGTAGCACTGACAGAGGACTGGTCACAGGCAGAGGTCCTGATTAAAGAAGTGGTTAAATGATGAGCTGGGTGTTTTCACTGTCAATACTGTCAAAGAAAGGACTGACTAACATATATAGGGAGAAAGCTGGGATAAACTAGGAGGTGGTTTCAATGTATTTAGATAGACATAGGAATAAGTAGAATAGATAGACATAGAAAGTATGGACATACATTTACATGTTCCCTATCTCTGTCTTCTGGGAGGGCCTGGGAATACTAATACCCCAATGAGCACTTGTCATGACCAGATCTTGGTTTCTTAATACCATTCTCCAGTAAAAGGTGATTTCAGGTTGAGTTGGACAATGACAAAGTGAACCTACTGCATCTTGAAATGCCAGAAAGTAAGCAAGTGCTCAAAAAATGATGGGAGACAAGTCAAAGGAAAGAGAGACCAGCTTAACGGGGCTCCTAATGGCCAAATTTTGGAAAATTTGAGCATTGAAATAAGAAATAATAATAAATTTTAACCCACTGAAAAAAACAAGAATTTATGAGTCCTTACATATATGAATGGTTAAATGAATAAATTATTTGATGTGATATGGAATATTTTCATAGTTTAAAGTACTTCACCACAAAACATTCATTATTTATCAAGGAAACAGTGAAACTTTACAGTAGAGAAGCCTGGCAGACACCACCTCAATAAAATGATTAAACTTAACATCACCAATTGTAGATAAAACTAAAATCACGTGCTATCTGATAGGATGCAAAACGAACAAAATATCACTTCTGTGGTTTCTACCAAAAGTGCACAACCTGAATCTATCCATGAGTAAATGTAAAACAAACGTTGAGGGACTTTCTTCAAAAGAATTGGTCAATAATTTTCAAAAGTATCAAGATTATGAAAATCAAGGAAATCTGAGGAAACTTCCCAGCTTGAAGAAGACATGACAACTTAATGCAACGCACAATTCTGGCTTGGACTGACTGACTGATGACTGGTTGATTGATACAATTGTGACCTGGATTTATTTATTTATTTGCTTGCGATAAAAAAAAAGACATTATTGGGACAATCAATGAAACCTGAATTGGATCTGAGAATTAGAATAATATAGCACTCTTAAGTTCATGATGTTGATGGTTATATTGTAGAATGTTGTATAATGGAGAATACATAATAAGATATTTGGCAGTAACAGAGGCATCAATAATTAAGTTAGGAACTTGCTCTACAATTGTTTGGAAAAACAGGTTTCCAAAACTTATTTACTGAGACTATTTAAACATATATTTCTTTAAGTAACCCAGCCTCTCACCCATGCCTCTCAGCCATTCAGTTTTCCTCCCCAGAAGCAACACTGGATTTTATTATGTATCCTTCCAGAGAGACAGTTGAGGCATTTAAAAGCTTCTTCTCCTTCCCGTCCTTCTTTTCCTTTTTATGAAATGATACGGTTCCTCACAAACTAATCTGCTCCTTGCTTTTCACTTATTCTCAGCACTCCACAGAGCTGCTTCACTCGTTTAGGTATGTGAATGTACCATAATTTATTCAAGCAGGCTGCACTGGTGAGTACTGTGGTTGTCTATTATAACTCTTTGATAGTACAAACAATGCTTCCCTGAAAATCCTTGAATACAGACCTTCAATATGCAAGTAAATCCACAGAAAAAAATCCTACAAGCAGAATTGGTGGGCCAAAAGACATGTGCATTTACATTTAGATGATTTTCAAACTAACCCCCGTAGAGGTTTTACAAATTATACTTGTACTCTCAATCAGTGCATAAGAGCATCTTAGGGAACTTTCCAGTTGTTTTGGTTATTTCCAATCTAACAGATAATATAAAATTTCATGGCAGTTTTCTTTTTCTTTTTTTTGGGCAGTTTTATTTTTCATTTGTTGTATTATTGAGATGCTGTATCCTTTTATATATTTGACAGCTACTGAGGATTTTACTAATAGCCACTGTAAAGTGCTGCCTTTGGCTTGTTCTGTCCTAAAATTCGCCGTGCTTTCTTTCAGTTTCCACTTTCTTGGCATGCTTTGCCCTCCTTTTATTTTTTGCTTTTCCAAGCAGTTGGGTTAGGCATGTCAGCTTTCCCTAGGGGCTGGGTGTTACTCCACCGTCTTCCAATATTGAATGCTCATGCAAAGGTGAGTCTACACTGATATTCCTCCTCTCCTGTCTCCATGGAGGCCTTGATCACCTTGTGTGGGGACCAAAGAATCATTTATAAAGTCCAATATATTAAACAAGGTACATCTCAGTGTTTTTCTGTGACATTCCTGAGACAAGCCATTTCCTTCCTTGTTTCAAATGGAAAGGATTCTCAAAGCTATAAAATTCTTTCCCAATTCTACTTGTTCTGCCCCCTTCACCCCTACCCTCCACTCCTCCAGGAACTCTAGATATATCATTTGTCTTCCACATTTATACTTTTTCTAACATTTAAAAACTCTTTGTTCCTGGGAATTCCCTGGCAGCCCAGTCCTTAGGACTCCATGCTTTCACTGCTGAGGGCCCAAGTTCAATTCCTGGTCAGGGAACTAAGATCCTACAAGCTGTACGGCATAGCCCCCCCCCCCCCCAAAAAAAAAAATTCTTTGTTCCCTTTACTTCTTTTCACCCACTTTTCTCAATCCTCAGTGTGCTTACAAAAGAATTTAGTGTTCTCTATGCTGCTTCCAATGTCACTACTGTTATCAATAGCTATATTTTTTCTCCTTCAACCTCTTACCTGATCTCTTGACAGCTACCATTTCATCTTCTTATATTATCTTACTATAGTTTCCCTGAATTTTAAAAAACTTCTGCTGTTAACTCTTGTTTTAAATGTTTTGAATTTGAAATATAACACTTTTTACTTGCTCTATGGCAACAGTTCTTTTTTGGTTTTGGTTTTTTGTTGTTGTTGAATATTCTCTGATACTTATTTTTCATTATATTTTTCTCCTTCTCCTTAATAGCATCTTTGTAGATTCATAGTCGGGTCCTTTTTATTGCTCATTTTTGGGTGAATTCTCTTTGTAAGCTCCCACAGCCAGCACAATTATGGTTCCTATTGTTCTGGGTAATGAGTAAGCTAGTTGCTGGCTCTATGATTTGAACATGTATTTGCAGATTTGTATAAAGGAGGAGACAGGAAAGAACTAGAAGGGAGTAGAAATTATCTTTGGCTCACAGTAAAGTTAAATATGATTGATGGAGAGTTCAGTGAAGGGGAGTTCTTTTTGACTTTATTTCTTTTTAACTAGTGTAACTGTCTCCCTCCAATTTAATGTATCCACTTTGCCTCAACACAGCTTTAGCAAAAATGAGAGGAAAGAGTAAATCTATAGCCCTTTCTTTCTACTTGGTTCTCATAGGTACTAGATGACATGACCGTATGTTTCTACTCTGCCTTGTCCACGCTGCCAAATGGGTCTGGAGAAGTTTCTACTCTCAGTGCCCTTACTGTTCCTGCTGCTCTGGATAATGAATAGGCTACCTACTGGCTCTGTCTGGTAGGACGTAGAAGCAGGAGCCTTTCTCTGTGTCTTCCCTCTGCCATATCCTTCACTGTATTTGGCAACTCTTCCTCATTTCCTGGTGGATTTGGAATTTATTTTCCATTTTCCTAGCTGTTCTTTTTAAAAAATAATTTCCAAGAAGAGAATGGGAGAAGGCCTGTTGACCATTTCTAAAACTGGAAGTCTTATGTTACTTTTTTGTTCTATTAGTTCTGCTTATAACTTCAAATAATATATATTTATACCTCTATAAATCCACTATAAGATGCAAGTATTAATGGCCTTACCCTTTCTTCTACATTTCAGATAATTAAATGTTGACATTGTTAGATTGTTAAAATTTATATTCTATTCTAAAAAAGTCTCCCATAGTTTGTCTATATGGTGTCTCTAAAAGTTGAAAACAGTGTTTACATCATTCTGACCAGACTTATAGATGAGTGTGTTGGTATAGAGAGTGCCTTAATTTTGATAAGATTGTTTTCAGTAGTGATAACATCTTAAAAATAGCAACAGTACATTCAGATGATCTTTTAGCACAGATCTGATGGTGCTGAATTCTGTTAGCTTTCATTTATCAGGGATGTATATTGTGTTTTCAGTGTAAAAGGATATTTTCCTGGATATAGAATATGTCAGCACTTTAAAGGTGCCACTTCACTGTAATCTGGTCTCTACTGTTTCTGATAAGAAATTAGTCAACATTCACATCTTTACTCCCATGCATGTGAAGTGTAGTTTTTCTCTGGCTGCTTTCAAGATCTTATCATTATCTATAGCTTTCAGCAGTTTAATTATGTGTCAAGTTGTGATTTTATTTGTATCCTGTGTGGTTCACTGAATTTTTAGATCTCTAAATTGCTCTTCACCAAATATAGGGAAATATAGTCCTTTTAAAAAATATTTTTTTCTGCCACATTCTCTCTCTCTCTTTTTGGATACTCCAGTTACATGTATATTATTACTTAACATTGACACTGAGGCTCTGTCTATTTTTCAAAAATAATTTTTCCCTCTTTTTTCAGACTGGATGATTTCTATGGATCTGTATTAAGGTGGACACTTTTTTTTCTCACATCCTCAATCTTCTGTATGTTACGACTATATATATTTTTCATACCAAGTATTACATTTCAAAATTCTTTAAGTTCCATTTGGTTCTCTTTTTAATTGCTTTAATCTAGTTGCTCATTATGACCATATCTTCACATTTATAATATCTGCTTTAAAGTCCTTGTCTACTAATTCCTACATATGAGTAACCCTTAAGATCTGTTTCTATTGACTGTGTAGAAGTCACATTTTTTTCTTTTTCATTAAAGGTTGCATTTTCTTGTGTCTTCACATGTGTCTGGATATTTTAATGTTACAGGTAAGGAATCTAATTATATTGTAATCCAATAAACTCAGCTTCAAAAAGTGCTGAGTTTTTGTTCTGATAATTTTATGGTAGCAAGCCAAAACTTAAAAACTGCGTATGAGCACATCATGCCTAGCAATAGAAAAAAAAAATGGTGCTTTATAAACCAGAAGGAAGGACATTATAAATGTGTAGAACAGGGAACTTACTTTAATGAAGCAAAATCGCACAAATTTCTCAAACTGTAATTTGGTCTCTTCATTACAGAATGCTGAAACTGGGATAGCTGACAGTTTCTGAAAAACAAATAGGAAAAATATGAAAACTACGTACACTTTAAATATTAATTTTTAGAGCACAAACATTAAAAACAAATAGATACTTCCAAATATTCACAATAATTTCCAAAAGAAATGTATTTTTAAAATCCTCCAGAGAATTCTCTGGTGAACCAATGGTTAGGATTCTCTGCTTTCACTGCCAAGGGCATAGGTTCAATCCTTGGTCACAGAATTAAGATCCTGTAAACCGCATAGTGTGGCCCAAAATAAAATAAATAAATAAATAAAATCTTCCAAATAACTGTGAGTAGAATATCAGGGAATAAAACTACAGCTCACATTTTTCAAGGCATGTCAACAGGTTTCCTTCATAATTTACTATAACATACAGCACAATATTGCAAAAGCCAATAAACATTACCTTATTTTTAATCATCCATTTCACGAATTTATAGTCATAAGGTTCATTGCTGTCCTTCATATCGAAGAGGTCTACATCTAAAACAATAATAAAAATTGGATGGGCTATATATTTATTATATCTGAGGCAAAGTGTGTTTCATTTGTCTAAGATTCAAAATTTCCTCATGCTGAATTCATACTGCATGATATGGTGGGAAGTAAGGAATTCCCAGAGAAGCTTTACAGATATGACACTCTAAGGCACTACTCACATATACATCTGGTTGATCATGTTTCTGTATACATCTTTTAGCACTGGAAGACAGTTGGAAGGGGCAGGACAACAAGGAGTGTTACTCTTCCATTTATAAATAATATATGCCTCTATGATCATTATTAAGGAAATAACCTCAATTTTTAAGGTATTCATCTGTAAGAATTTTATTTCCAAATGGTAATTCATTATTAGATTGTAAGCTCCACAGGGATATTGCAAGTTATCACTATCCCCATCTCCTAGGTCAGTATCTAGCATGTAAGTACTGAAAAGCATGTTTGTGGAATGAGTAAATTAATATAATTCATTATTTATGAAGGGAAAATGTCTACATAGTTCTCCCAAGTGATATATTTATTGTTTCCCTCTTCCAAATATTATGCTTAATTTTTTAAAAATTTGGTGAAAAACTTCAAATACACATTCCTATATTTATCTCTTGTTCCAATCTTGCTTTAAGGTCTGGACAAGATATTTCTCTGGCATTGGGATTCAGCAACCTACATTTCATATTGTTTCAACTGTACTGACTTGTACTCAAGATCTTTTTGAATGTCCCAAAGCAACAAACACTGATGGTCACTGTAATCAACTATTTCATCCTTTATTGTGGCTACCCTGGTAGCTCAATTCATGAAGAATATGCCTGCAACGCAGGAGATCCAGGTTTGATCCCTAGGTAGGGAAGATCCTCTGGAGAAAGGACTGACAACCCACTCCAGTGTTCATTCTCGCTTGGAGAATTCCATGGACAGAGGAGCCTGTCGGCCTACAGTCCATGGGGTTGCAAAGAGACAGACACGACTAAGCAACTAACACACACATACTTTATTGCTCAAAATAAATCAAGGCAGTTATCTTCTTTCTTTTATTCACTAAATAATACTGGGTCCCTTCAAATTAATAGTGTAAAAACCTTGACACTAAAGAAAGTTTCACTTTTATTTTTTTAAATGACTTAATATGGCTTTCCTTAATGATTTTATTTCAATTTTCTCCTGTGATTTAAGAATGTAAAATTTCCATATAATAATGCTAATAATATGCTACCATTTATTACTATTTGTTAAACATGTTACATGATTCTCTCATTCATTTGCCCTATAATTCTGTGAGATGCAACAATTCTCATTTTACAGATGAAGTTAAACTACTACTTTAAGTCATATGTATGTATGTGTGTTTAATTCAGATTTGACTCTAAAAAAATGACAACTTAAAACAGAGTCTAATTGCAAATTCTGTGAAAACTCCAAGTGACAATTACACAAGAGTAGCACACTCAAAGTTAACCTGGAGAGAGTCGTGATTACAACAGTAGAAGAAACAACAGGAGGGTACTGACATGCTGTAATTAACACTGTCTATACTATTCATTTCTTCTTTTTTTTAATTTATTGAGGGATAGATAGTGAGGGACAGGGAGGCCTGGTGTGCTGCAGTCTATGGGGTCACAGAGTTGGACACAACCCAATGACTGGACAGCAACAACAGAGAGTTGATGTACAATGCTGTGTTAGTTTCTGTATAGCAGCTATAAATAGTGCTGTATAGTGTTGTATAGTGTCTGTTCCACACACACACACATATCCACTCTTCTTCAGATTCTTTGCCCATATAGGTGCCTAGAGTGTCCTGAGAAGAGTTCCCTGTGCTACACAGTAGGTCCTCATTAGCTATCTATTTTATATATAGTAGTGTGTATATGTCCAGTCTCAATTCTTCCATTTATCCCCCTCACCCAGCTTTCCCCCTTGGTAACCATAAGTTTCACTCAGTATAGTAACTGCTTATTTATTCTTCTAACACTTAGAAAAGAGAAATTTATTGTCATGGTACTCAAAGAAAAGGAAGGGAATAAATACAATTCTAAATATTTTACTTAGGAGAGAGTTGGAATCTACTTCTTTTCAATGCTTCAGGGACAGATGTTCAAACAAACTAAAGATAATATTTGTCTCCTGGAGGTAGGAGTTTGAACCATATTATAATAGCACTAGCTTATTTAAGTAATCTATGAAAACAAAAATCGGTTGTTCTATTCCCATTATCTCCTCCCTAATTTCACCCCTTATCATACTATCTTCCTATTTGTAATCTTGTCTTCTGATTAAATGTTTCCCTTTTTAGTTCTAGGATGATGCTCACTGGTCAGGGAAGTTGCTGAGTATAGCAGAAAATATATGTTTACTGGTTAGTACATGCATCTCTGCATTCAGAGTCCACCTCTGATACTTATTAATTGATTAACTTCAGTAAATGTCTTGACTTTTAATGACATCTTTCTCAACTATTAATGGGGATATAACAGCACCAATCTTATATGGCTTTTGTGAGATTTTGATATTTGTAAAGCAAACTACTGTATCATAAATGTTCAAAAAATATTAACTAGTTAGTCACTGCTATGAGCTATAAAGAGAATTACTATGTTCATGAATTTTATGGTTCATTTTTATCTTTAAGTTACCATCAAATGAAAGTTTTGTTTCTTGCTTCTGTCTTTTGAAAAAGCTGGAACTAACCTCCAGTATATGGAAGAATTTCTATAATCAAAATAATCAGATGAAAGAGAAAAATAAACTTGTCTTCATATGTAGAAGGGTCTTATAGACATTAACATTCTTTCTCACACAGGTGAAGGATCATAAAGAACACACATCTTTTTCCCCCATTATCATACAAGTTGTTTTCTAGCCCAAATCCTTTCTGGTATTACAACCATACTAGTTCAAGATCTAGGACCTAAACCAACACTGCATGCAGGCTGGATCAACTGAGGATAAAATGGGAAACTATTTAAGAGCTTAATGCAAACAAAAGTTGCATTACTGTCTTTTTGATGTTTAATGTCAAAATGTGATAAATTTCTTTTAGAATTTACTATCTGCAAAAGTTTGGTTCCAGGAAAGACTTACTTGTATCTAAAAAGCTGTTAAGTTTAATTTTATCCGAGAATCATGTAACTGATTCCATCTTTCTATTTGTCTTCGTTGCCATGAAGTGTGGAACCAAGTTAATGCTAATTACAATACAGCTGACCCTTGAACAATACAGGTTTGAACTGTGTAAGTCCACTTATACACAGACTTTTTTCAATAGCAAACACCATGGTACATACAATCCATGGTTGGTTGAACCCACTTCTGTGGAACCTTAGATAAGGAGGGACTACATACACAGAAGGACCTCAGATATGGAGGGCCAACTATAAATTATACATGGATTTTCAACTGTACAGAGTCACCATCTTGCAACCCCTACATTATTCTAGGGTCAACTACATATGAACCCAGGTGACTAAAATATTTGCTTTCCCTACTCCATGTTACTTTAACATATGAATATTTCTACTTACATATCATTGCATAGAAGACTTTAAATATGAATTAGCTCAAAGTTTTGTTGGAAGCAGATAAAAGTAAAATAATTTTCTTTTAAATAGATGAAAACTGTGCCATTTCTTTTTATCATTTCATGAAATGAGCTGCACATTTAAGCCCAATACAGGAAAAGTGGTTTCTAAACCTTAGAATATAGAACATCATAAGGGTTTTTATATAAGAAGAGAACTTAGGAGCCTAACAAATACAGCTCTCTGGCAATAGCAGAGCCAAGAACCCCTGGTCACTCTGCTTTTCTCACAGCAAATGAGTAAATAATAATCACTGTTTTGTTATAACATTGAAAGTTTCCAGCTTCATAAAATTTAGTATATATAAAAGAATTTTCAAGCTCACTGGCATATCATCTCACTGTAATAAAACCTTAAAACATTTAAAACTATGCAGAATTGCTGTAATTTCTGTCAAAATAAATTAGGCTCTTAAATTTACTGTGACTAACACTACAGTTCTGGGGAAGAAATATGTTATACATAAAGTATTACTATGCTTCTAACTTTAGATTTGTACGGCATGTCAGAATTCCATATCGTAGCTTCAAGTAATGTAAAGGTCATCGTTTTCTGGAGACAAAACTACTTGGAATCTAGTTGTATGACTTCAGGCAAGTTATTCTCTAAGTCTCCGTATCTTAAAAAACAGAGATAACAATGCTTTTTTTAAAAAAGAGTATTTGAAGCGTTGGCATGCAGTAGACCATCAATAAATATTCCTTTCCTCCTTCACCTCATTTCTGTATACTCTAAAGTGACAGGTATTCTCCAATAGCATCAATATGCTAGAAATGTTTTTTTTTCTTAAGTAAAAAGGAAACTAAAATTTTACTAGAAGGAACACAAAGGATACATATTTTTTCATGTACCTGTTTTAAATTACATACCAGAACAAGGTGACAGCAAATTCTATGTTTATTAGAATACCTAGCACAAATAACTCCATAATAGTCATATTCAAGGTCAATGACCCAATCATCAAGATGATTGCAGAAAAACACTGACACTGTGGAAATCCATTTTCCCATAAATGAAAGGCTGATATTGGCTTTAGTACCAATCTTTTCTTCATAAATTTGATGTGATTCCACACCTAGGTTTCTGTATATTTGAATAATAAACACCTTTACAAACCTAGCAAAGACACGTCAGCAATGATGAAGTATCCCCCATCAGGAACTATGGGTTTTAGGCCAACACTTTCAAGTAAATGTACCATCCGATCTCTTTTTACTTCTAATTCTTTTGGCAAAGAATTGAAGTAACATTCTGGGTCATCCATGCGCTTGATGTCAATCCAGAGAGCTTGAGCCAAGGCTTCCTGTATGTTAAGATTGAAAAATATGGAAAGGAAATATGGCAATGTTGTGTACTGCCAAGTTTACTGGTATAATAAATAAAGATTGTCTGAGTAATATTACTGACAAGAAAATGATTCAGGGAATTACAGTTGAACCTATGTGAAATTCTACAGACTAATGGAAGAACAAGTTACATGGAAATGATTAAATCTAATGTGAAGAACTGAGGATGAACCACAAAAATTCAAATTGAAATAGGGGTACAGTTGTCCCTTACTATTCACACAGGTGATTGGTTCCAGGGCCCCTGCAAATACCAAAATCCAAGGATGTTCAAGTCTTTTATATGAAATGCATCCATGGGCTCTGCATCTGTGAATTCAACCAACCCTGGATCCACAATCTTTAGCTGAATCAATGGATGCAGAACCTGTGGATAGGGAGGGCCAACTGTATTATATAAAGACGCCTTCCTTGGAAATGAAAAAGACAACCGTGTTTTCTACTAAGGTTAGCTTCAGAGTGATTTGCTAGATCTAAGCCTGAAAGACAATCAGGGAAATGATAAACTAGCCAGCATTTCCCCATTACCTTTCAGGGCAAGATAGTGTAAATGAAAGCTGATCGATCCACTGTGTCACTCTTCGTAAATGTATGAATCCCTGTACTAATCATTCACATTTTTTCTCCACTGCTTTTATCAACATCTGACATATTATGTTATAAAACATTTACTTGCTTATTATCTGTGCTCCCCCAATAGTCTATAAGCTTCAAAAGGGCAGGGATTCTTGACCGCTTTATCTCTGACACTCAGTAAGTATTTTTTTATTAAGTGAATAGATTTATTTTGAGAATGAAAAGAGTTGAATACAATAAAAATCAATGCCCAACTAGCTTTTATCATGATATCATTCTATAGTCATTTGAAAAAAAATTTTATTAGGATTTTTTTTCTTATTCAGTAGGTATTTTTGATAGGAAACAAAAAAGTTTATTGTAGCCAACATATTTCCCGGTTTTGGCTTTTTAACTGCTTCCCAAAAAAATAGTTTTCAGTATTCTGATTATTCACAGAATAATAGTACATAGATCCCTGTTTTATAGATATTAAAAAACTAGAAACAATATAAAAAAATATACATTAAAAAGTCTTGCAACCCACCCCAGACCCTATCTACTAGTTTCATCTGTTCCCTTTACTCCTCAAATAGCTACTTTAACTAGTTTCATATGGTCCTTCCAGAGATTCTTTAAGAAAGTATAAGCAAATAGTTTTCTCCCTTTCTTATACAGAATATAACATAAATAATGATATATACTGCTCTGTATCTTGCTTTTATTTTTACAATATAACCTGGGTATCTTTCCGTATCAGTAATTACAGAGTTTTCTCATTCTTTTTTGTTTTTCCTTTCCCTTTCCTTTCTTTTCACTTTCTTTTTTCATTTATTTTTATTAGTTGGAGGCTAATTACTTTACAATATTGTAGTGGGTTTTGTCATACACTGACATGAATCAGCCATGGATTTACATGTATTCCCCATCCCGAACCCTCTGGGTCTTCCCAGTGCACCAGGCCTGAGCACTTGTCTCGTGCATCCAACCTGGGCTGGTGATCTGTTTCACCATAGATAATATACATGTTTCGATGCTGTTCTCTCAAAACATCCCACCCTCACCTTCTCCTACAGAGTCCAAAAGTCTGTTCTGTACATCTGTGTCTCTTTTTCTGTTTTGCATATAGGGTTATCATTACCATCTTTCTAAATTCCATATATATGTGTTAGTATGCTGTAATGGTCTTTATCTTTCTGGCTTACTTCGCTCTGTATAATGGGCTCCAGTTTCATCCATCTCATTAGAACTGATTCAAATGAATTCTTTTTAATGGCTGAGTAATATTCCATGGTGTATATGTACCAGAGCTTCCTTATCCATTCGTCTGCTGATGGGCATCTAGGTTGCTTCCATGTCCTGGCTATTATAAACAGTGCTGCGATGAACATTGGGGTGCACGTGTCTCTTTCAGATCTGGTTTCCTCAGTGTGTATGCCCAGAAGTGGGATTGCTGGGTCATATGGCAGTTCTATTTCCAGCTTTTTAAGAAATCTCCACACTGTTTTCCATAGTGGTTGTACTAGTTTGCATTCCCACCACCAGTGTAAGAGGGTTCCCTTTTCTCCACACCCTCTCCAGCATTTATTGCTTATAGACTTTTGGATAGCAGCCATCCTGACTGGTGTGTAATGGTACCTCATTGTGGTTTTGATTTGCATTTCTCTGATAATGAGTGATGTTGAGAATCTTTTCATGTGTTTGTTAGCCATCTGTATGTCTTCCTTGGAGAAATGTCTGTTTAGTTCTTTGGCCCATTTTTTGATTGGGTCATTTATTTTTCTGGAGTTGAGCTGGAGGAGTTGCTTGTATATTTTTGAGATTAATCCTTTGTCTGTTGCTTCGTTTGCTATTATTTTCTCCCAATCTGAGGGCTGTCTTTTCACCTTGCTTATAGTTTCCTTTGTTGTGCAAAAGCTTTTAAGTTTCATTAGGTCCCATTTGTTTATTTTTGCTTTTATTTCCAATATTCTGGGATGTGGGTCATAGAGGATCCTGCTGTGATTTATGTCGGAGAGTGTTTTGCCTATGTTCTCCTCTAAGAGTTTTATAGTTTCTGGTCTTACATTTAGATCTTTAATCCATTTTGAGTTTATTTTTGTGTATGGTGTTAGAAAGTGTTCTAGTTGCATTCTTTTACAAGTGGTTGACCAGTTTTCCCAGCACCACTTGTTAAAGAGGTTGTCTTTTTTCCATTGTATATCCTTGCCTCCTTTGTCGAAGATAAGGTGTCCACAGGTTCGTGGATTTACCTCTGGGCTTTCTATTCTGTTCCATTGATCTATATTTCTGTCTTTGTGCCAGTACCATACTGTCTTGATGACTGTGGCTTTGTAGTATAGTCTTGAGTCAGGCAGGTTGATTCCTCCAGTTCCATTCTTTCTCAAGATTACTTTGGCTATTCGAGGTTTTTTTGTATTTCCATACAAATTGTGAAATTACTTGTTCTAGTTCTGTGAAAAATACCGTTGCTAGCTTGATGGGGATTGCATTGAATCTATAGATTGCTTTGGGTAGTATAGCCATTTTGACAATGTTGATTCTTCCAATCCATGAACACGGCATTTTGCAATCCCCACCAGCAATGTATGAGTGATTAAAGTTAAAATTTTATGTGTTAAAACCAAAACCATTCTTGATAGCAATGAATATGTGTTTGCTTCTAAATTTCCAAATTATACTGAAAGGACATGAAGGAACTGAGCCAACTGAAGTATAGAACATAAAAATAACACCTCTGCCCAAAGACCATGCAGCAGCCCCAAATTACTGTAACACCTACCTGTAAAGGGGTTGCACAAGTACAAACGGTGTTTTGCTGAACTGTCTGTAAATGTTTTATCAAATGTTTAGGACCAATCGACCAGCCAAGCTGGAAAAGGAAAAGATTTAAAAATTAATCTAATTGTACGTACCAGATCTGATAGAGTAGTAGCTAAGCTTAATGCAATTATTAAATATATGCATTTCTAAACCCTTTACACTATGAAAGCTGTGCAGTCTTAGTAGCTAGAAACACTTCAACTTTGATCTTTTTGTGGAATAGTTTCCAACTGAAGTCACTAAATTCTGCCTTCAGAAGGCAAACAGTGCTTGCAATCATTAGTATCTACCCCTCTCTTTGAATTTGCTATTTTTGATATTCTGGAAGTCTAATAACTGGCAACAAAGCTTGTTTGAATATAGATAAAAGTAACTTTCAACGAGGGCCTTAAGGGACTCTTCCATAATTTGGTTCTCCAGGCTTGTTTTTGATACTTCTTAGCCAAGGTCAGGAGAAGTGAAACTGGAAGACAATCAAGTTTCAATTCGATCAATTGTGATTTATTACATAGTACAGTGGTTAAGTGCATGGATTCTAAACCTAGATTTCCTGCCCTGGCTGGAATTCGAATTTATTAGCAATGAAACCTTAGGCAAGTTACTTAGATTCTCTGTATTTTAGTTTTAATGTCTGTAAAAGGGGAATAATAAATTACATCCAACTCAGAATGTGGTTATGAGAATGAAAGAAATCAGTATGTGTAAATCTCTAGAACCTGGTACATAGTAAGCATTAAAACATTCAGTTCAGTTCAGTGGCTCAGGCGTGTCCAAATTTTGCGACCCCATGAACTACAGCATGACAGGCCTCCCTGTCTATCACCAACTCCTGGAGTTTACTCAAACTCATGTCCATGAGCTGGTGATGCCATCCAACCATCTCATCCTCTGTCATCCCCTTCTCCTCCTGTCCTCAATCTTTCCCAGGATCAGGGTCTTTTCAAAATGAGTCAGCTCTTCGCAAAGTGGGCCAAAGTATTGGAGTTTCAGCTTCAACATCAGTCCTTTCAATGAACACCCAGGACTGATCTCCTTTAGGATGGACTGGTTGGATCTCTGTGCAGTCCAAGGGACTCTCAAGAGTCTTCTCCAACACCACAGTTCAAAAGCATCAATTCTTCTGCACTCAGCTTTCTTTACACTCCAACTCTCACATCCATACATGGCCACTGGAAAAACCATGGCCTTGACTAGATGGACCTTTGTTGGCAAAGTAATGTCTCTGCTTTTTAATATGCTGTCTAGGTTGGTCATAACTTTCCTTTCAAGGAGTAAGAGTCTTTTAATTTCATGGCTGCAATCACCATCTGCAGTGATTTTGGAGCCCCAAAAAATAAAGTCAGCCACTGTTTCCACTGTTTCCCCATCTATTTGCCATGAAGTGATGGGATCAGATGCCATGATCTTAGTTTTCTGAATGTTGAGCTTTAAGCCAACTTTTCACTCTCCTCTTTCTCTTTCATCAAGAGGCTCTTTAGTTCTTCCTCACTTTCTGCCATAAGGGTGGTGTCATCTGCATATCTGAGGTTATTGATATTTTTCCCAGCAATCTTGATTCCAGCTTGTGCTTCCTCCAGCCCAGCATTTCTCATGATGTACTCTGCATATAAGTCAAATAAGCAGGGTGACAATATGCAGCCTTGACATACTCCTTTCCCTGTTTGGAACCAGTCTGTTGTCCCATGTCCAGTTCTAGCTGTTGCTTTCTAAACCTGCATACAGATTTCTCAGGAGGCAGGTCAGGTGGTCTGGTATTACCATCTCTTTCAGAATTTTCCACAGTTTATTGTCATCCACACAGTAAAAGGCTTTGCCACAGTCAATAAAGCAGAAAGAGATGTTTTTCTGGAACTCTCTTGCTTTTTCAATGTTCCAGCGGATATTGGCAATATGATCTCTGGTTCCTCTGCCTTTCCTAAAACCAGCTTGAACATCTGGAAGTTCACGGTTCACGTATGGCTGAAGGCTGGCTTGGAGAATCTTGAGCATTACTTTGCTAGCGTGTGAGATAGTTTGAGCATTCTTTGGCATTTCCTTTCTTAGGTTGGAATGGAAACGGACCTTTTCCACTCCTGTGGCCACTGCTGAGTTTTCCAAGTTTGCTGACATATTGAGTGCAGCAGTTCCACAGCATCATCTTTCAGGATTTGAAATCGCTCAACTGGGATTCCTGCCTCTTGCAAAAACTGACCTGCCTCTTGGGAAACCTGTATGCAGGTCAGGAAGCAACAGTTAGAACTGGACATGGAAAAACAGACTGGTTTCAAATAGGAAAAGGAGCCCATCAAGGCTGTATATTGTCACCCTGCTTATTTAACTTATATGCAGAGTACATCATGAGAAATGCTGGGCTGGAAGAAGCACAAGCTGGAATCAGGATTGCCAGGAGAAATATCAATAACCTCAGATATGCAGATGACACCACCCTTATGGCAGAAAGTAAAGAAGAACTAAAGAGCCTTGATGAAAGTGAAAGAGCAGAGTGAAAAAGTTGGCTTAAAGCTCAACATTCAGAAAACTAAGATCATGGCATCTGGTCCCATCATTCCATGGCAAATAGATGAGGAAAGAGTGGAAACAGTGGCTGACTTTATTTTTTTCTGGGCTCCAAAATCACTGCAGATGGTGATTGCAGCCATGAAATTAAAAGACTCTTACTCCTTGAAAGGAAAGTTATGACCAACCTAGACAGCATATTAAAAAGCAGAGACATTACTTTGCCAACAAAGGTTCATCTAGTCAAGGCCATGGTTTTTCCAGTGGCCAGGTATGGATGTGAGAGTTGGAGTGTAAAGAAAGCTGAGCGCAGAAGAATTGATGCTTTTGAACTGTGGTGTTGGAGAAGACTCTTGAGAGTCCCTTGGACTGCACAAAGATCCAACCAGTCCATCCTAAAGGAGATCAGTCCTGGGTGTTCATTGGAAGGACTGATGTTGAAGCTGAAACTCCAATACTTTGGCCACCTGATGCAAAGAGCTGACTCATTTGAAAAGACCCTGATGCTGGGAAAGATTGAGGGCAGGAAGAGAAGGGGATGACAGAGGATGAGATGGTTAGATGGCATCACCAACTTAATGGATATGGGTTTGGGTGGACTCCAGGAGTTGGCAATGGACAGGGAGGCCTGGCGTGCTGTTGTTCATGGGTCACAAGGAGTCGGACACTACTGAGCCACTGAGCTGAACTGGGATTCCATCACTTCCACTACCTTTGTATATAGTGATGCTTCCTAAGGCCCACTTCACTTCACATTCCAGGATGTCTGGTCTAGGTGAGTGATCACACCATCGTGATTAACTGGGTCGTGAAGATCTTCTTTGTACACTTCTTCACATTAGCTATTATTTTTTCTCCTTTTAATTAATATACAGTAATCATACATTGCAAAGAAAAGAGTATCATCAGTTGGTTACTTATAAAATAAGAAAATTACCCTATGTTTCTTACTTTCAAAAGAATGATTATGTCTCAAAAAGGATAAAGACAATATGAAAACTGACTAAGAAAGCAGATCAGTAAGTATAAAAACCTGTGTAAACTGAGTATCTGTGCATTTAAAACACACAAAAAACCCTACAAGAAATAAGATATGTGCCTGTTTTCAAACAATTAAATTCTTCATCTTACCCTCCAGCCAGTTACACTGAAAGTCTTTCCAGCACTTCCTATGGTTATTGTTCTCTCCCACATACCTGGGAAAGTGGCTGAATAGCAAGAAAAGGGGGAAAACAGTTAGTTAATTGCTTTATAATCAGTCTACACTCAGTATAATCTAAAAACAAAAATGCCTTATAATATAGGCAGTATGGTTATTTCAATAGGTTTTTAACAGATAATTTAGCTTTAACCCAAACTCAGCTGAAAATGTTACCAAGCTTGAAAACATTTAAGTGGCAAAATTATCTCCCAGGGCAGGAATGGTCAGAAGCCCCAGCCGGCAGCGCTCCGGGCTGGTCCAGTGCAGCAGTCATCGGAGCAATAGCACCCGGCGTTCAGTGTTAGTGGTGGCTGGGGGCCAGCACGATCATTCTGTGGCACAGTTTTGGTTGTGGTTCTGGCACTGTTTAGCTCACCTCTACTCTGTCCATTTTCTGAGTCTATTTCTACAGGATTCCTAGGGAAGTGGTTCTTAAAATACATTTCCCACCTAGCAATATCAGTATCACTGAGGTAGTCGTTAAAAAGGCAAACTCTTGGATCCTCAGAAACTCTGGGGAAGGCCCAGCAATTTGCAGGCATGTGCAAGAGTGAGGGTGTGTACTTTAGAAATAGCACACTGAGATATAAATCCATGACATATAAGATATAAGGTAGCTAAAGAAAGTTCTAAAATATAAACATAGGCAATTTCAGCCTTCATGAAATATCTGTCAATACTTATAAAGGTAGGAAAGCCATATAAATTGAAAGAGTTACCATTGTATTCTCTGTGAAACCCACAAAGAAATCCCAAAAGGACAAATGAAAAAAATATTTAGAGGGTCCATTCGAAGACAGAATATTCTAACATATATCCTCTCAAGTTTTGAGACATTTCTATTCTTCCAAAATATTCCAAAGGACATGGCATGTCTTACTTTTCTATTTGACCACAGGAATATCTAAACTATGTATAAAGCAGAGTGTCACTCCCTTTAAAGTAATAATATATATCCCAAATCAGGAATATCTATTATTAAGAACAACACTTAGATATAAATTCTTTGAAAATAAGAATTACCCAAACTAATACAAACCTAGCATGTTTTAACAATAAGTTAAACATGAAGTAAATAAAAACTATGTACACATCAAATGTAGGTTACATTCACAAAGTATCAAAACTAAGTAAAGTATTTAAAAGCTAAGTATTTTCTTGATGGCTATTTTGGCCATATAAAAGTGAATCTTTTTTTTTCTTTCAGGGAGTAGGATGATCAGCTAAATAATTTATGAGGAATTCTATACTAACTTTCCAAATATCAAGGGATTAGTATATAAATACCAATGTATTCGTATAATCTCTTCCAGAACAAAGGTTTCTTTTGTTGAATGTAATGTCATTTTACTGAAACCTGGAGAGACCATATGAGTCAAGAGTGTGACCCAGTATGAACAAATTCTACAATTCCAATTAAAAGGGTCACAAGTAATTTAAAACCAGGAGAATGAAATGGCAACCCACTCCAGTATTCGTGCCTGGAAAATCCCAGGGACAAAAGAGCCTGGCGGGCTACAGTCTCCGGGGTCACAAGAGAGTCAGACCTGACTTAGTGACTAAACACAGACGCACAAGTAATTTAAGAACATCTAGATAATCATGTCCTCTCCGTCTCAGAGATTTGGGGAGCTATAGAAGTTAAACAGAGTAGAAGACCACAACACTGCATGTGAATACAGTAACAGAAAGAAAAAAAATCTTTACAGATCTGATGATTTAGAAAAACCATATCTAGTTCCAGTACTGGTAAGTTTAGCCTGTAGTTAAATGTGAAAGGCAACTGGTCTTTGCACTTCTCATGTACGACCCATCCTCCTTAAATCAACCACAGCAGCTATAAGAGTTATTCACAGGTGACTTAGGCTTCAATAGAAGTCAGATAAAGATTAGAGACATGATGAAGAGTGCAAGCTACACCTGGGAAAACTGTCTCTGTGACATGAAGGTGATGCTAATTTCATGATGTGTGGCCAGAATCTTATTGTATTAAAGAGCTACTATTGCACTCTGCAAATTGATGGAATAGCCATTTCTTATCTTTCATGTAACAAAGGCCACCGTATTTAACAGACTACGTTTTCAGATGTTTGCACTCTCTAAATAATGAAATAGAATGAATAATGAAATGAATAATGATGATAATGAAACAAATGAATAATGAAGTCATTTTTTTCTTGTTTTAACATCCTGAGTTGTTACAACTAAAAAATCTGAGTTAAAAATATATGTCTTGATATCTTTAGCAAATAATATCATTTAAACTTTTATCATGAAGTATTTATAATATAAGGTTTAAACAATAAGTTTCAAGATCATTTAAAGCAATATTTTGAATAGAATATTGCTAAACTGAGTTAAATAAAATTTAAAAGCTTTGAGTTATTGCACAGACATGAACATTTGTAAAATGTACAAAATGTTAAGCATAAAATTATATTTATTCATCAGATAGATGCCTCTTCCTCTCTCTACTTAATCTTAAAAAAATTATCAAAAAATGTAATTGTCCATGTTGGCTTGATTTTCAACTGAGGAGTAGTTAATGACCTGAGACAGAGATCATCAACAAGATATGGGAAGGTGAACTCTGATGCAATTTTGACAAATAACAAAATGGGCTGTGTTAAGATACCATCCCTTACAAATTTCTGGCCCTCTTCTTTGTTTATATATTCTCCCTTAGAAGATACATTGCCTTCCATGTGTTCCACTATCAACAAAATTTTGATGACTGTCAAAAATAAATCCCTTCACAATTTGATCCTGACAGTCAGGCCTATAATTCTACTTGTCTGTAGACATCTCCTCCTCTATGAGTCAAAGACACTGAAACAGCATGAGAAGCAGGAATTTCCTTTGCTCAGCTCTTCCCACAGGCTTATCTCCTTCCATTTCCATCCCTGGTTAAGGCCTCATCACTGCTGAGTGGTCCAGGCTAGAGATCTCAGAATCATGCTTGCCTTCCCACCTTTAAATGTTCTGTGCCCTACAGTTTATACTTCTAAACAACCCCAGCGTATGATCTCCACTGCCAGGGCATCTGACTTAAAATCCTCACCTGCAGCTGGTGCTTACCTTTATAAAACAAATCCAATACAGAACCAATTACCTTGCCTCATCATACCTTGTCATTGCCTGTTGCAGCTGTTCTCAAAGTAAGCTCACTGGTACCCTGATGATCAAATTAATTATTGAGTTTTTTTTAATAGAGCTTGAAAAAATCAACTTTAAATTTTCCACAAAATTTTCTTTAGCGCTTCAAACTGCTACTGGTTATCTCAGTAGTAAAGAACCAGCCTGCCAATGCAGGAGACATGGGTTTGATCCCTGGGTTGGGAAGATCCCCTGGAGAAGGAAATGGCAACCCACTCCAGTATTCTTGCCTGGAAAATCCCATGGACAGAGGATTCTGGCAGATTACAGCCCATGGGGGTCACAAAAAGACAGTTGGACACGACTTAGTAACTCAAACAACAACTGGTTATCTGATGGTGAATGCTACCAATAGTGAAACAAATGAGCATCGCGAAATGAACAATAATGGCAAAAATCAGAAAAACTCAGATGTATTTATTTCAATAACACTTTGTTACAGGCAAATACACACAGATTTGGGGTTTTTATATTGACTTCTAATTATTGAATTTCTGTTAAGAAAATTACCTCTAGCTTCATGATGAAATACAGTATATATTGTCACTAATTCATCATGTGAACATTGTGACTTCACTATACTCTATCACTAAAATAAAATAAAAGTTTAAGAACCATTGGCTCCCCCTCAATGAAATTTAAATTCTTTATATTCATATATAAATTCCTTCAGAATCACCCTACTCTTCCATTCTCATCTGTGCCAGTTACTGCAACACACTGTTATAAGCCAGTTAAGTATATTTTGATCTTTCATGCCATCTCACCTTGGTACCCAAGTTTATCTGAGAAGAATTTTCTTTCTACTTCTCTGATTAAGTCCATCTTTTGCCCACTTTGTTGATCTCCTCTGTGTCTCCACAACAGTTTGTAATTTACCACGGATAATTATGATGTGTGCAACAACTATTTATGTATAAGTACACTAATTTTAAAATTTATTGGTTCCTGACAGTGATATTAGTTATTCTTCCCTCACCCTTTCATACTTACTATTCATTTTATTAAACGATTATTTTCTGATTGTCTACCATGCACAAGACCCTATTCTGGGAACTAAGGATTCAGAAGAGATCAAAACATTTAAAAATCCCTACCTCCTTGCAGGTTATAAGTAAAAATATACAGATCCTGATATTTGTTATACAGGAAAACACAGGACAGAAGGGTTTTCCTGGTGGTCCAGTAGTTAAAAATCTGCCTTGCAATGCAGGGGACATGGGTTCGATCCCAGGTCCAGGAAGATCCCATATGCCTCAGAGCAACTAAGCCTGTGTGCCATAACTACTGAGTCTGCATTCTAGAGCCTGTGTTCTGCAACAAAAGAAGCCACTGCAATGAGAAGTCCGAACACTGCAATGAAGAGTAGCCCTGGCTCACCGTAACTAGAGAAAGCCGGAGTGCAGCAAAAAAGACCCATCACAGCCAAAAAAACAAAACAAAAGAACAGAAAAAGGACAAAGAAAATGCAGAGAGGTTTAAATCTTAAATGTTGTGGTCATAAAATCTGAAAACTGAATAAAGACCCCAGGGAGGTGACTCTGAGTCGTTTGGATATCTGAAGGAAAAGTGTTTCCAAGTATAGGAAGGGAAAGTACAAAGACCCAAAGACTGAAGCACAGTTATACCCCTGTAGCTGATATAAGTTTGGATCACCCCAGAAGACACCATGGTATCTGTGAGATGGCCTGGGTGTGTGTGTGTACACTCAGTCACTTCAGTCATGTCCAACTCTTTGTGACCCTATAGACTATAGCCCGCCAGGCTCCTCTGTCCACAAGATTCTCCAAGCAAGAATACTGGAGTGGGCTGCCATGCTCTCCTCCAGGGGATCTTCCTAACCCAGGGGTTGAACCCGCATCTCCTGCATTGCAGGCAGATTCTTTACCACTGAGCCACCGGGGAAACCCGAGATGGAGTAGAAATGGTGAAATCCATTGCAGCAATACCTTACTATCACAGCAATTTCTTTCCTGTTTATCTGGCATTTCAGCATTTCCCTTAGTAGGGACAGATCAGCTCAAGAATAAGTAAGTTCCCTATGTCTTATATACAAAGTAATAGCTAGATTATTGGGGGGAGGGAGCTAAGAATAAAGGCAAAAGTACTACTTCTCTGGTTTCCTGGTTGTATACTGTGATCTAAAATCTCGTCTCCTAAGTTTGTACTGCATGTCCTTCAACCTGTTCATAAAACCACTCAAACATCATTCATTCAAGTCCCATTTTTAAATGCTCACAGACATCTACCCATTATAAAGACTATTCTAAAGCTGGTCTGGGATCCTTTCCAATCAGATATTCCACATGTGTCCAAACACATTTAGATCTGTGACTCTATGTAATAATTGGTACCTATTTTAAAATGCTTATTTCCAGGATATACAAGCCATTCATAAACCTCATCACTGATGCAGAGTGTGTCATATTTGATGCAAAGGTCGGCAATTACTTGGAGTTCCTCTTTGGTATACACCTACACATATGAAAGGAAACAGAAGAGCAGAGCCAATTACTCAACGTATGAGAGAATGACGGATCAGAAGACGTACAACGAGATCAAAGACTCACCTTGCCAAGGGGGTTATGCGGAGTATTTAGCATTATAGCTTTGGTTTTGGAATTAAATTTGCTTGCCAGTTCTTGAGGATCTAAGGTCCAGTCAGAACTAGAGCATTTTTTCCCATCAACAGGTTTCTAAGCATGAAGAACGAAGATGTGATTTAATTCAGTTAATTCATGTTTGCTGTATTATAAATAAATAACCTAATAAGGAAAAAAACAGTAGAGAAAGGCATGGCAAAGGTAACTTAATAGATAACTAACAAAGGAAAGAAACAAAAATAACTAAGATTTATGTCTGCCTTAAGAGCCCAACAGGACTTGAGTCCCATGCTCATACCTGTTAAATGGAAACACGAACTCTGTCAACATTAACAACTATAAAAGTGCCTAAATTCCTTCAGAGGAGCCAGCTATATGGTTATGGTTAACACGTCTGATTATGGTTAACAGCTATGGTTAACAGGTCTGATTCTATAAGGCTAATAAAAGATTCTGTGATTCGCCTTAGTGTGTTACTTGTTTTAATAAGATTTTTAAAAAAAACAATGAAACTATACTGTATTCCTAAAGATAAAAGTAGAGTAAAAAAACCAAAACACTTCATTCAGAATTCAGTAAGTATTTATTGAACACCCAGCACATACCCTGGAATTCTCAGGGGGTTCAATAGTAAAGAATCAGCCAGCCAAGCAGCAAACCCGCGTTCAATCCCTGAGTCAGGAAGATCCCCTGGAGGAGGAAATGGCAACCCACTCCACTAGTCTTGCCTGAAAAATCCCATGGAGAGAGGAGCCTGGTGGGCTACAATCCGTGGGGTCAGAGTCAGCCACGACTTAATGAGTAGACCACCACCACCAACACATACCCTGAACTGTCCGTCACTGGGGACCAGAGCTATAACAGTGAGTCAGAAGTGGCCTTTGACCTGGTGGTGCTCAGTCAGTAGGGCAGATACATAACCATAAAAAGCAGTATCACATACAATGCAGAAGCTGTTACAACAGATACATGGCAAACATATGATGAAGGAATAAAAATTCCCCCTTAAATAGCTGTTACCTTCAGTCATGGTAGAGATATACAGTAAATTTCAAAATGTAATCAAAGTAGAAACTTTACTGGCAACAAAGTAATTGGCATTTTCAAAACTTTTTAAAAAACGTAAATCATAGGGGCAGACTTACACATCTCAGGGGAACAAAAACAGGTGTTGCTCCAGCCATTCTCAACATGGACTCATAGCAGTCATAGAAAGGCACGATCACTATGACCTGGAATCAAACCAAATAACAAATCTATCAATAATTAATCCATTTAACAAATACTGTGTACCTACTATGTGTGAAGCACTATACAACATGCTAAGATGCAGCAATGAAGAAAGCAGGCTTTGTCTTCACACACCTGAGTGAAAAAGACCTTGGGAACAAACTTGTCCAAAGCCTTAATTGGACCCCTTGATTTCCTAGGGAGCTCTGTGGATAGGCTTGCAGTGGGACCCTTCCAATTGTATGCAAAATTTTCTACATGCATAGGTTTATTTTACTGGAGAAGGGATCCATAGCTCTCATTACATTCTCAAAGGGATGATCTAGCCAAAAACAGTGAGTTTAAATTTCAAATTAAAAAATAAACGATCAGTGGCAGAGCAAGACCAGAAGGAAAGAGAGGACTGCAGGGATACTCTCTGTTATGGAGTAGTAATTTCTAAGTATTATCCTGAGAGAAGAACAGGAAGCCTGGCATGCAACAACAGTCCATGGGGTCACAAAGAGTTGGACACAATTGTGTGACTGAACACAACAAAGACGTTTCTTTTTTTTTCAAAACCATCCCCAAACAAAGACAGAATGCAAGAAGACAGGATGCTACCATTGTCTGATACCCACAATTTCCCTCCAGGTGACTTACATCTGTATTCTTTTTTCCTAGCTCCTTTGCTCCTACAAGGTCCTGGAGGCTCCTACAGGCTCTCTCAACCTACTCAGGGCCTGTCTCTCAGGTCAGTGGGCCAGACCGACCTGTTCTGCAATATGCCAGTCTGCACCTAGTATCCCTGACCTTTTGCTTTTCTATAATGAGTTTAAACACATGATTTATATCCATTGTTGACATTCAGTTTTTCTATTTTTTTTACACATAGCAATACTTCACAAACATTTAATATTGTTTAGTTTTAATGTATTGTTTTAATGGCTATTTGAGAGTCTACTGAATTCTAGGATAATTTTTTATAGTTTGTATAAATAACAGTACAATGTGAATTAGTGACTGCACAGTTTCTCCATTTTAGTGCTTGTTACTGCTAGACTAGAGTATAAACACCTTTTATGGTACCTTATATATATATACATGTATGTATATATATATTCAAACTGCTTTTGAAAAATCTGGCAACAATGTATAATTTTACAAGTTTACACTTAAATTGAAGAAAGTAGGGAAAACTACTAGACCACTCAGGTTCTGACCTAAATCAAATCCCTTATGATTATACAGTGGAAGTGAGAAATAGATTTAAGGGACTAGATCTGATAGAGTGCTTGATGAATTATGGATGGAGGTTCATGACATTGTACAGGAGACAAAGATCAAGACTATCCCCAAGAAAAAGAAATGCAAAAAAGCAAAATGGCTATCTGAGGAGGCCTTACAAATAGCTGTGAAAAGAAAAGACAGGAAAAGCAAAGGAGAAAAGGGAAGATATACCCATTTGAACAGAGTTCCAAAGAATAGCAAGGAGAGATAAGAAAGCCTTACTCAGTGATTAATGCAAAGAAATAGAGGAAAACAACAGAATGGGAAAGACTAGAGATCACTTCAAGAAAATCAGAGATACCAAGGGAACATTTCATGCAAAGATGGGCTCAATAAAGGACAGAAATGGTATGGACCTAACAGAAGCAGAAGATATTAAGAAGAGGTGGCAAGATAATACAGTAGAACTGTACAAAAAAGATCTTCAATACCCAGATAATCACAAAGGTGTGATCACTCTTCTCGAGCCAGGCATCCTGGAATGCAAAGTCTAGTAGGCCTTAGGAAGCATCACTACAAACAAAGCTAGGGGAGGTGATGGAATTCCAGTTGAGCTATTTCAAATCAGAAAAGATGATGCTGTGAAAGTGCTGCACTCAATATGTCAGCAAATTTAGAAAACTCAACAGTGGCCACAGGACTGGAAAAGGTCAGTTTTCATTCCAATTCCAAAGAAAGGCAATCCCAAAGAATGCTCAAACTACCGCACAGTTGCACTCATCTCACACGCTAGTAAAGTAATGCTCAAAATTCTCCAAGCCAAGCTTCAACAATACGTGAGCTGTGAATTACCAGAAGTTCAAGCTGGTTTTAGAAAAGCCAGAGGAACCACAGATCAAATTAACAACATCCACTGGATCATCGAAAAAGCAAAAGAGTTCCCGAAAAACATCTACTTCTGCTTTACTGACTATGCCAAAGCTTTTGACTGTGTGGATCACAAAAAACTGTGGAAAATTCTGAAAGAGATGGTAATACCAGACCACCTGACCTGCCTCCTGAGAAATCTGTATGCAGGTTTAGAAAGCAACAGCTAGAACTGGACATGGGACAACAGACTGGTTCCAAATAGGGAAAGGAGTATGTCAAGGCTGCATATTGTCACCCTGCTTATTTAACTTATATGCAGAGTACATCATGAGAAATGCTGGGCTTTATGAAGCACAAGCTGGAATCAAGACTGATGGGAGAAATATCAATAATCTCAGATATGCAGATGATACCACCCTTATGGCAGAAAGTGAAAAAGAACTAAACAGCCTCTTGATGGAACGAGGAGAGTGAAAAAGTGGCTTAAAGTTCAACATTCAGAAAACTAAGATCATGGCATCTTCACTTCATGGCAAATAGATGCAAAAACAGTGACAGACTTTATTTTTGGGGGCCCCAAAATCACTGCAGATGGTGACTGTAGCCATGAAATTAAAAGATGTTTACTCCTTGGAAGGAAATTTATGACCAACCTAGACAGCATATTAAAAAGCAGAGACATTACTTTGCCAACAAAGGTCCATCTAGTCAAGGCCATGGTTTTTCCAGTGGTCATGTATGGACGTGAGAGTTGGAGTGTAAAGAAAGCTGAGCACAGAAGAATTGATGCTTTTGAACTGTGGTGTTGGAGAAGACTCTTGAGAGTCCCTTGGACTACAAGGAGAAACAACCAATTCATTCTAAAGGAAATCAGTCTTGAATATTCATTGGAAGGACTGATGCTGAAGCTGAAACTCAAATACTTTGGCCACCTGATATGAAGAGGTGACTCATTTGAAAAGATCCTGATGCTGGGAAAAATTGAAGGTGGGAGGAGAAGGGGAAGACAGAGGATGAGATGGTTGGAGGGCATCACCGACTCATTGGACATGAGTTTGAGTATACTCTGGGAGTTGGTGATGGACAGGGAGGCCTGGCGTGCTGCGGTTCATGGGGTTGCAAAGAGTCAGAAACGACTGAGTGACTGAACTGAACTGAACACTAAACTGCCTTTAAGTTTGTGTTGGTTAAAATCATGGCACCTAATTATCATCCTAAATTTCTACTTTTTACTATTTATATTTCCTGTTAAAGTCATGTCTCACTGGAGTCAATGGAGGCCCTTACATTCTAAAGTCCCTTTGTTTGTACTTGTCATCTAATTCACACTGAATATTTTCTATACAACATGCTATGTTAGGTGTTGGGTATTGTGGAGGACAAGACATGAGCCAGGAATGTATGTTTTCCTCAAGTTCATTAGACTGTGATATTCTTAGGGACTAAGATAACCCATCTTTGCAGCCCTGATGAGACACAGTGCCTGGTATGAAGTGAGAACTCAATGAAGGAAAGGAAACGGGGGAGGCAGCAAGGTGGAACTGAGAATATACCCTACACTCTTCCCTGAAATTTCCTTATTTTTACAATGGAAATGACTCCCCTCTCTTTTTGAAGAGTACTGACTGAGCACTCACTATTTCAAATGTTGGCTCTACAACAATAAACTAATTTTCCTGGAACTTAAATTCTACAGAGAGAGACATAATAAATAAGAAACAAGGAAGAAAATTAGATAATTTCAGATAGTAATAAATATTATAAGGAAAATAATAGGCCTATATGATGCAAAGTGATGTGTGTGGTTTCAAAATATTAGATAAGTTGATCAGGGAAGAAGAATAGAGAAAAGAGGGCAAAGGGTTGAGCCTTGGGACACACCAACAGAGTGCAGAGGAGGAGGAAGCAACACAGAGGTAACACGATCAACGCCTGAGCTGAAACTTTAGCTATTTTATAGGAAGAAAGGAAATTACATATATGAGAGTATGACTATACTTCCTTACCATGATTCCTTAAGTAACTTATTGTTTGGCAGAGCAGAGGGAACAGAGATATAGAAGAAAAGGTAATACAAAGTCCCAGAGGTATCTTTCATAAAGGAGGTACAGATAAAGTGCTGGCGGGGTGGGGGTGGTTCAGGACTTCCCTGGGGGCTCACTGATTAAGAATCTGCCTGCCAGTGCAAGGGGATACAGGTCTGATCCCTGGTCCGGGAAGATCCCACGTGCCCCGGAGCTCCTGCGCCACAGCTACCGAAGCTCCTGCTCTGCAATAAGACAAGCCATCGCGGTGAGACGCCCACACACCACAACAAAGACGGGCCCCTGCTCAGCACAGCTAAAGCAAGCCTGCACTGAGCAATGAAGACCCAGTGCTGGAAGAGTTCAAAGGAGGGAATTAACAATACAGGTCATGGCAAATGTTCATTCCTCAGACTTGGCTTACCCAACACTTCTCTGGAGCTTTCTGGACCTATATTAGCAGAGTTCATCACTTCTTCCTCTCGTCACCATGGTAACTTACACATTCCCCACCACTGCCTATCACACTGCATCCTTCTCTATCTGTGTACAAGTCCATCTCCTTTACTAAACAGGGAACCTCTTCCACATAGAAACAGTCATTTAAAAAAATCTTCTCTCCCACATTGTCTAGCACATTCTCAATAAATTTTGAATAAATGGAAGGGGTGAGTAAAATATGAAAGCAAGAGTACCGGAATGATAAGGGTACTGAGGAAGCAGGAGCAGAGCTACTGAGGTCAGTGCTGAAGTGGGTTTTATATCACCTCACTAAATAAAGAAGTCACTCAGTTGTCTTGTTATACATCCCTCACACGGTACTGCTAACAATACAGGGCACAAAAAAACAGTGACCAAATACTTGTTGATTGAGTTTTAAAAGTTGTTTTAGCAGCGAAAACTAAGATTCATCTTCCCATATTACTGCTATCCTCTTTTACCTGCCCTTATGTAAACAGGCGGTAAACAGAAGAACAAACATGCAACAAAAGTGAATGAATCTCACAGACAAAATGATAAATGAGAGAAGCCAGACTCAAGAGTATATACTGTATGATTCTATTACATCAGGTTAAAGAGCTAGTAAAATGAATCTCTGGTGACAGAACACAGAAGATTGTTACCTCTGGAGACTACAGACTAGGAAGGGGCAAAAGGGAGCCTTCCGGGTTGCTGGAAATGTACTGTATCTTCATCTGGTTTGTGGTTACAGGGAGACAAACATGCACACATGTAAATATTTACTAAGTTGTACTTAACAGTTTTTTGTGAACTTGACTGCATATGTACTATATTTGAAAAATACTTAAAATAAAAGAGCATTAAAAAAGTGAAAATAAAAGCAAGACAAATGACAGTGATTAATACAGGCAGCATTATAATGTTAATATACTTACTTCATCCCCCTCATCAATCAATCCTTGAATGGCATTAAAAAGAGATCCATATGCTCCTACAGTCACGAGGATTTCTTCAGTTGGATTGATTTGATTTTGATAAAACTTTTCATACAGGCAGGACAGAGCTTTCACAAGTGATGGATGACCCTGTTGAGTGAAAAGGAAGAACAAACCCTTGGATTTAATTATGAGACCTACTTCTTTGAGATAGTTTGGCTCTGAAATGTTAAAAATTTTTAACATTTAGGTTTTACAATTCTCTAATGTGTATTTTTATGGCAACAAATTAAAAAAAAATTGTTCCCCTTATTTTCAGAGGGTTCCTGAATGAATGGTCATGATGATTTGCTAATGATTAAAAACTTCCCTATTAAATGACTGATTTTTGACTACAAAATTTCAAGGTATCAGCTTTGTTATCCGATATCTTGATATCTGTTTTTTTCTGCCCAACATCTGCATCCTCTTTTTGCTTTTAGTAACCACCCTGATTTTCAGTCATTTACAGAAAATATTAGTAAGTGTCCAAGTGCAGGTCTTGTGACTCTGTTAGGAAAGCACCCAGCTCTGGAGTAATAACCTGGGTCAGGATGCAGAAGAGGGAGATCGCTTAGATATATCCTAGGTTGGTGAGGTAGAAAAGTATGGCTCCTTCTAAGTTGTCCATCCCAGTTCATATGAAGGAAAGGAGGAAGTTTTTTGTTAAGGATGTATTTATTTGTCATCTTTGTATTTCTTTCGGAACAGTGGCATGTATGTCCCAGAGCCTCACCTGGTTAAAATCAATAAAAGTGAAGCCAGAGCACATTTTTTGTATTCGAAATTAGGAAGTATTATAGTATTAGAGAAGCTGGTTGTAATTAGTAATAGAAGGTCAAAAAATATACACAAATTGTTGAAAGAGCAAGAGACAGTTGTCACCCCTCCCAGAAATCCAAAATTCTTTGAATTCATTTTAATACTAGGTTTAACAAATTCTAGCAAAGGGTGATATGAAAGCAACTATAAACACTACACATCTGTCCTTACAGTAACAAGGATTTGTGTTTACATTTTTTAATTACAAAGTGACTCATGATTCATGTAAGTAAAATGAGGCAAAAGATACATAAAGAAAAATTATCTTTCCTCAAAATCTCTTCTTATTTCCCATGCCCTGAGGTGACTAATGTCCACAGCCTGCTGACACTGCAACCCCATCCCCACTGCTACACCAATATAAACACACACACATGTATATACACTCATATATATTCGCAAAAGCTGGAAAATATATGAATGATGGGTATGGGTATGTTCCAAGAAAACCTTACTTATGAAGTCAGGGATTGGTTGGACTTGGCCCATGGACCATAGCTTGCCACTCTCTGCCATGGATCAATTTAGGGAGAACAGACACCTTAACATACTTAGTCTTCCAATCTATGAACATCATATATTACTCCATTTATTCAGGTATCATTTAATATCTCTCAGCAAAGTGATGCAGTTTTCAGTGAACAAATATTGTATGTATCTAAAAAAATCAGTTCTAAATTTCAGTGTGTTTGGATACTATTGTAAATGGCATTTTAAACAATTTTACTTTTTAACTTCACTTTTAGTACAACAGAAATACAACTGATTTTTGTACATTGGCCTTGTGTCCCGAAGCTTTGCTCAATTCACTTAGTAAGTTGTGGTACTTTTTTTTGGTAGAACCTGGGAACTCTCTTGCTATCGTAGGCATTCTAGCAAGAAGGATGAGGTTGGGCTGAGGCAGAGAGAAAGTAACTAGTTGGAAATAGATGATATTAATGTAGAGACCAGTGCTGAGGCTGCATAAGTATGAAAGGAGAGAAAACATGTCTCAAGTGAATACTCTCCTTCCTTTGTTGCCATGGGAACCCCAACCTGGAACAGTAATTAAGGAGGGGCCAAGACAGGACTTTGGAGAAGCTGGAAGTAGGGGACAGCTTATCCTCGGAGATAAGGGCAAGGGTGAGGGTTCCCTTGCCCAGCAGGTTGGGATAGTTGGATCCAGAAAGCAAATTACAGAGAAGTGACAGAAGTATATTCACACACAATATGATATAAAACACATGCTCACACCACATACAGTGCTCATATACTTACAAAGGCCCATGTGTACTGATTCAGATTATCAATTGCTGCAATCTTGGATAATTCTTCCTTTACATATATTGGAGGGGATATATCTGGAAGACCATGGCCAAGATTCACAACAGAGGGGTCTGCAGCCAGTTTGGTAAATTCAATCCTAAGATAAAAACGACTAGTATTAGTAAGCACTATGATTACAAAGTTAGCTTTCTATACCTCTTAGTCTCATAAAACTGAAAAATAAGACTTAGTTTAGTCTTATAGATCAAAAAAAAAATTAATGAGTTCAAGACAACAATTTTACCATCTACAAAATGACTTTGCCTAGAAAAATGATGGCTGAACTGATAAACTTAATGTTTCTTACAAATCTCAGTTCCATGATGCCTATATTTTAATCACATTTTTTTTTTCTCAACCATCTGCTGCTAGGTTCTCTCATTAGAGAGGAGAGCTAACAGGAAAAGGTCATGGATTAAGAAGGTAAGTTTCACAAGGTCATCACCCAATTTGTCCCTTTCGCTGTCTATTTCCAGTGCCTAGCACAGGGACTGGCACAGTGGTTAAGGGAATAAAAAAGTGTATGAATCATTATTTCCATTACCAATGAATGGATGCAAAAAAACTTTACCCAATTATTATTGTTCATTGTAAGGTACTCACCATACATTGCTATCAAGGCCTTCAATTCGTTTTGCATTTTTGAATTTCAAAGACATTTTCTGAAATATATAAAATTGAAGGGATTTTTAAAATTTTCTTCATCAAACAATAATGCCAGAAAATCATGGGTAACTCTTTCTTTTCCCTACTGGCACCATAGAAAAAGCAGTACCATAAAGAAAAATGCTAGATGCCATTAAAAAATTCCCAAGAGGAATTCATCTCCCATCTACTGTTCTAAATAAATCAATTTAAAGGCCTGAAATGTACCGAAGAGAACAATGATGGTACTAAAAAGAAGTCAGTAAAAGCAATATCTTGAGTCATGCTCTGAAGATCATTTCAGGTCAGGGGGATCAACAGTTTCCCAAGTTAGTTCCATATATGGCATACAGGAAGCACCAAAACAGATGGTTTCAAGACTACTCAATAAGGAGTTCTAAATAATAGGAGTAATAGGTAACATTATTGAGTGTGTACCAGGCACTGTTCTAAGGGTCTTAAATAATTAACTCAGTTAATATTTACAACAACCCCATATTATGGTTCTATCACTAGCCATAATTTACACATGAGGAACGTGAGGTACAGAGAGGATAAGATCATGCAACTTTACATCTGCCCAAGTTCACAAAAGCAAGTAGCATTTAAACCTAAACAGATTCAACTCAGGATATGAACCCAGGCATTCTGACTTCAGAACACACACTCAGCACTGTTTCCACACACTGTCTTTTGCAGAAGACATTCTAAAAGAGACTACTAGAATGTTGCCTTTTAAATAAAGTATATCAGACATTTAGGTCAGGTCTACTCACATTAAGCAAGCTTGACATATTAAAAGCTAAAATTACAGCAAAGCAGTCAATTTTTTACTTCTTTAAGATTCTAAAAGGAAGTTTACATTATCTCTCAGAAGCATGGAGCGATCTTTGATTTCATTGTTAATAAGCTGCTGAAATAAAAAGAAATGATTGGCAGCATCTTTGCAAAGATTTTCTTAATAGAATAGTAAAGTAATTTGAATTCAATCTAGAAGGAAGATAGTGATAACAGTTATTAAATAGACCATTGTTCTCATTCTATTCCAATAATGGAACCAAGAAATATACCTTTTTGTTTTTCTCATATATTTTTTTTAATCTTTGAAACTCCATTGAAGTAAATCACAAGCAGATTCTCCAGAGGTTAATGTGCCTTCCAGAATGGCATTATGATTTAGTGCCCACCTGAACATGATGCTATTTTAGAGACTACAATTATAAAACTAAAAATGCCCAGAAAGATAAATAGAAAAAGACTAACTTTGCCATGCTGCATGGCATGTGGGATCTTAGTTCCCCAGTCAGGGCTTGAATCTGCGCCCTGCATTGGGAAGGCAGAGTCGTAACCACTGGACTGCTAGGAGAGTCCCAGAAAAAGATATTTCAACAATTGTCTTTTTCCATCTCTAAGAAAAAAATTTTTTTAAATATTTATTTACTTATTTAGGCTGCACCAGGTCTTCCATCTTCTTTGCGATACTGGGGATGTTTAGTTGCAGCACATGAACTCTTAGTTGCAGTATGTGGGGTCTAGTTCCTTAACCAAGGATTGAACCCAGGCCCGGTATACTGGAAGTGTCTTAGCCACTGGACCACCAAGGAGATCCCTCTAAGAAATTTTTAAATCTTGATGATTTATTCAGCATGTGCCTACAAAGTAAAGACTCATACATAACAGTAAGCAGAGTCTACAGTAGAAAATTTAGACTAAAAAGTCCAACTTTACCTAAATTATCTAGATAAAGTCAAAATGCATTTCAGATTTAATTTTCTTTAAAATTTGTGTCTAGAACATTCTGATCTATCAAATATTCTATAGTGTTCTCTCACAAGGTTCACATCTGATCCTTCCTCCACACAACTGATCTTTCTATACAAATGTTTCTCAGTCCTTTTTTTTTTTTTTCTTTCTGGTCACCACTTTCCAACCATGGAGACTTTTTAGACATTTTTTCTAAACATGCCTCCCCATTTCTCTCATTAAATGTAAAAGAATAAGATTTTGTCAGACAGAGTTGAGCTCTGGATGATCAGAAAACATTGCAATAACCAAGATTTCTTTCACCCGCCAAGCAGCAGTTTCTCCCCCTTGGGGACAATAATGCCCCTGTTAAGAATGCATGCTCTACATTCAATCTAATCCCTGGACTCCATAACCTTGTCCCTTCACTCCACTAATTCCTATTCCACCTGCCACCTTCAGTTCTCAAGTTAGACTCCGTTTCCTCCAGAGACCTTCTTTGATTCCCCCAGTCAAGGTCAGATGCTCCTCCTCTGTGCTCCCATGACACGGAGTATCCAGCATTTACTACAAAACATTGTCTTTTTTTATCTGTTTGCTTTTCTGTTTTTCCTCCCTTAGACTGTTAAGTCCTTGTGAGGACTACTTATAGCTTGTTTGCTGTTCACTGATGTGTGTATTAATTGAATTTTTCTATAGAGACAGAACCAATAGGATGTACATATATACAGTGATTTATTTTAAAGAATTGGCTCTCAAGATTGTGGGAGCCAGCAAATTCAAGCCCTGCAGAGCTCCAGCCACGGAAGAGCTGGTGTTGCAGCTGAAGTCCAAAGACAGCTAGAGACAGAATTCCTCCTTCTTTGGGGCTCCTCAGTCTTTTTCTCTACATCTTTTAACTGATTGAATCAAGGCTATGAACATCACAGTATTAATAATTCATTTTACTTAAACTGTAGTGATTGAAATGTTACTCTCAACTGAAAAATACCTTCATAGAAACATCTAGACTGGTGTTTGACCAAATATCTGGGTAATGTGGCCTAGCCAAGTTGACAGATAAAATTAATCATCACAGTATCCAACACATAGTACTATGCCGAGCACATTTGTTATTCAGTTGCTCAGTTGTGTCCGACTCTTTGCGACCCCATGGACTGCAGCACACAAAGCTACCCTGTCCTTCATTATCTCCTGGAGTTTGCTCAAACTCATGTCCATTGGATATTGGTGATGCCATCCAACCATGTCATCCTCTGCTGCCCACTTCTCCTGAGTCGGCTCTTCATATCAGGTGGCCAAAGTATTGGAGCTTCAGCATCAGTCCTTCCAATGAACATTCAGGGTTGATTTCCTTTAGGATTGACTGGTTTGATCTCCTTGCTGTCCAAGGGACTCTCAAGAGTCTTCTCCAGCAACACAATTTGAAAGCATCAATTTCTCAGCGATCAGCCTTCTTTATAGTCCAACTCTCACATCCATACATGGCTACTGGAAAAACCATAGCTTTGGCTAGCCAGAGAAAGCTTTTATAAAATATCTCATGAACGAATGAGAAAATTCCACACATTAGGAGTGAACTTGTGGTTATCAGTTTCCTTAAGTTAATACTTCAGTAACATAAGACCCCAAAGTCTCCGTTGCTTAAAATAATAAAAGGTTTATTTCTTTTTCATGCTACACATCCACTGGAGGTCATGTGCTACTCTATTCCATGTCACTGTGACTCTGAGACATAAGACAATGAAATAGATTCTTTCTGCAGTACTGCCAGATTCACAGCAAACGGAAAAAAATTCTTAAAATTTTCTCCTTAGGTGTATACCCATCACTTCCACTCACATTTTATTGGCTAAAGCAATTTCATAGCTTAAAGTGAAAGTGTTAGTTACTCAGTCGTCTCCAACAATTTGTGAGTCCATGGACTATAGCGCCCCAGGCTCCTCTGTCCATGGAATTTTCCAGGCAAGAATACTGGGTAGGTAGCCATTCTCTTGTCCAGGGGATCTTCCAGACCTGAGGATCAAACCCAGGTTTCCTGCATTGCAGGCAGATTCTTTCTAGGCCTGACTATATGGCAAAAATAAAATCCAGATAAACAATGAAATGGGTGGTTATGATGGGTTGAACTGTGACACTCGTCTCCCTCCCTTACTTGTTATGCTGAGAGCACCTCAGAAATTGACCTTATTTAGAAATAGGTTCACTGCAGATGCGGGCTTCCCTGGTGGCTCAGACAGAAAAGAATCCACCTGCAATATGGGAGACCTGGGTTCAATCCCCGGGTTGGGAAGATCCCATGGAGGAGGGTAAGGCAACCCACTCCAGTATCCTTGCCTAGAGAATTCCACGGACAGAACAGCCTGGTGGGCTATGATCCATGGGGTCACAGAGAAACAGGACTGAGCAATTAACTTTCATTTTTTTCACTGCAGCTATAATTAATGAGTTCAGTTCAGTCGCTCAGTCATGTCTGACTCTTTGCAACACCATGAACCGCAGCATGCCAGGCCTCCCTGTCCCTCACCAACTCCTCCAGTTTACTCAAACTCATGTCCATTGACTCGGTGATGCCATCCAACCATCTCATCCTCAGTCGACCCCTTCTCCTCCTGCTGTCAATCTATCTCAGCATCAGGGTCTTTTCTAATGAGTCAGTCAGTTCTTCACATCAGGTGGCTAAAGTATTAGAGTTTCAGCTTCAGCATCAGTCCTTCCAATGATTATTCAGGATTGATTTCCTTTAGGATGGACTGGCTGGAGCTCCTTGCTGTCCAAGGGACTCTCAAGAGTCTTCTCCAACACCACAGTTCAAAAGTATCAATTCTTTGGCACTCAGCTTTCTTCACAGTCCAACTTTCACATCTATACGTGACTACTGGAAAAACCATAGCTTTGACTAGATGGACCTTTGTTGGCAAAGTAATGTCTCTGCTTTTTAATATGCTATCTAGGTTGGTCAGCTTTTCTTCCAAGAAGCAAGTGTCTTTTAATTTCATGGCTGCAGTCACCATGTACAGTGATTTTCGAGCCCAAAAAACAAAGTCTGACACTGTTTCCACTGTTTCCCCATCTATTTGCCATGAAGTGATGGGACTGGATGCCATGATCTTAGTTTTCTTAATGCTGAGCTTTAAGCCAAATTTTTCACTCTCCTCTTTCTCTTTCATAAACAGGCTCTTTAGTTCTTCTTTGCTTTCGGCCATAATGGTGGTGTCATCTGCATATCAAAGGTTATTGATATTTCTCCTGGCAATCCTGATTCCAGCTTGGG